CCAGGAAGCGCTGTAGCCCCTTGGGGGGCGGAGGGGCCCACAGGGCTCCGCGCGCTACCCTTGCCGCGCCTCCAGGTACCTCCCCCCGAAGCTCCCATTGGCTGTAGTTCCCCGTTCCCGGCCAGTGGGAGCTGCGGAGGGCTGTGCCTGGAGGCAAGGGCAACGTACAAAGCCCTCTGCCCCTCCTCCGGGAGGGCCACAGGGATGTGGAGCCGGCCACTTCCGAGAGTGGCACGGGGCCTATGGTGCCATGGCTGGCGGTGCCACGGGTCGGATCCAAAGCCCTGACGGGCCGGATCCGGCCCGCAGTTTGCCCACCCCTGTCTTATAGCAACAGATGTTGCACCATCTGAGAATATTTTCGGCTTGCCCTTGAAATGAAACACAACAAGTTAGACTTAGAATTCACTCATTCCTGACTCCCAGTCTGTGAACATTTTAATAGACCACACAAGGTGTATAATGTATAAGTAATCCTAAAATAACAAGCCAGTGTATGGTTCCCGAGACACTGTACATGTGCCTTTTATATTTCTCTCTGTATTATTACCTGCTATGACTATTCACATGCCTACCTCCCTTCTCCCTGTCCTATCTTTCTTTGAAAAAGAATGGGGCACACATGGCAAAAGGAAAAAAAGCAGCAGACTAATAAATTACACACAGACAGACACACACATGTGTAATCAATGTGGCAGTGCCCCTTTAAGTCACTGCGGCTAGGTCAGACTAGAGCTGAAGGGTTTTAACATCAGTCGATAACCTATTGTGCAGGGGAGATCATCGGACTTCTTCGTTTCACAGGTCAATTAGATAAAGGTGGCTAGTATCTTTATCAAGCAGTTCAAGTACTGTTCCAGTTATCATTTGGGTGCACCACACTCCACAGGAGGAAACATGAGGCTTACCAGGTTCTCCTCGTCGACCCGGCTTTCCCCGCCTTCCTGGAGGGCCTGTGGAAATGAGAGAAAAGAGCTATTTATTACATGGAAATCACTGTCAGAGGAAATGAACCTCACAGGCAACAGGACCAGGAGAGAATATGCAACAAGCCATTCCTTTTAAAGTCAAAGCTTCCTCACATCTGCGCCATCCTCCCCTATGAATCAACTGAAAAACAGTAGGCCCTAAAGACGCATTTTAGTATGTCCAGTATCGCAAAAAACTGTTTTGGAGAAAATGCCTCTCTTTGCTGATCCATTGCTACAGCACATGAAGGGAATGCTCTCCCCTTTACCATTCCATTTGGAGGGGAGTTCTCTGTGACGTTACACCCCATATTCTTCATAAAAATATGGTTATGATATGAACATGGTATAACTAAGATATACTTTATGCAAGATGGGTCTTGTAAGAGGACAGTGCAGCCCTGAAACAATCTGTCCCCCTTACTCACCATTTTGAGGCTCCTGTGGGATGTGTGTGCTGTG